GAAAGGATATGTAGAAAAGAAAATGGGCAAAATCAGCACATCCAAAGAGATTATCTGAATCTCAATTAATCTTTATTTCATATTACCCAATTTACCACTTCAACTTCTCTTTTTCAATAATAGTTGCAGCATCAGGCAAAACAATGAATTTCATAAAACCCTGAGTTTGTATATTACCAATTTATCCCAACTCGACTCTGGCTGATTTACTTAACATTTATAAAATTCTTGTAGATAACAAGTATCACAAGCTCGCATTACTAGAAACTGAAAATAAGTAAAAACGTGATGAATATTTCAGTTTCTTTCATTTAGAAAAGACCACATAATGGGAACTATAAACAACCTAGCAAAATTTCCATCATATATAACAGAGCATTTACACATCTTCATTCAGAAACATTAATGCACTCATTTATCTATAAGCTGACTGCTATCCAGGATTGTACAAGACTGAAAAATCAAGAATGAACCTTCTTTGGATTTGAGAATATATTTAATTTTCCAAAAGCCTTACTTCAATACAGTATGCCTATGCAAAAACATCTTCAACTGCTGAGAAGAAATGAAGGAGCAAGGGTGTGGCACAGTGCTTAAGCCGCTGCTTTTGACATCTGCAGTTCTGATTTTCGTTCTGCTACTCTACTCCCAACCAGCATCCTGCTCATGTGTAACCATGAGGGAAAAGACAATGGCTCAAGTACCTGGATTCCAGCCAGCCATGTGGGAGCCACACACTGAGTTCTGGACCCCAGGCTTCAGCTTCACGAGACCTGGCTGTCACAGGCATTCAAGGGAGTGAACCAAAGGATGAAAGATCCTATTCATCTGTCTGTTGTCTGTCTCTTTGCCTTTCAAGTAAAAATTAAAATAATTTTTAAAAAGAAATGTAATCTGACTTACAACAAAGTGTGTAATGCAGTGTAATTCATTCGGTGTACTGTAGTTTCAAACCTAACAGATCCCCAAGTGACTCTCACCTGCTCTCTGAATAATGCTAGGAAAAAAACAATGAAGTACTGATTTTTGTAATAACTCAAGAAAATGGAGTATTTGTATAAAATAAACAAAGAAAAAAGGCCCAGGATTAAATATATAAAAACCCTACTTAAAGGGACAACAAGGGCATGCACTGTAGGTTAAGCTGCTGCTTGGGACCCATACATCCCATAGCAGTGCCTGGGATGAAGTCCTAGCTCCTCAGCTGCCAGTGTGCATCCTGGGAGGCTGCAAATGATGGCCACGTCCTTGGGTCCTTCCCACCCATATGAGAGACCCAGGTGCAGTTCTTGGCTCCTGGCTTCAGCCTGGCCCAGCCCTAGTTATTCTGGGCATCTGGCAAGTGAACTAGTGGATGGAAGATCTCTCTTTGTCTCTGCCTCCCTTGTTCTCTCATTCTGCCTTTCAAATAAATGAATATTTTAAAATAAATAATAAATAAAAGGGACAATAAAAGCAAAATGAAACAAAAATATAGGAAAGTAATAAAAAGTGGGAAAAGAAAAAGGAAAAAGAAAAATTGAAAAATGAAATAAAAACATTTTTGGCCGGCGCCGCGGCTCAATAGGCTAATCCTCCGCCTTGCGGCGCCGGCACACCGGGTTCTAGTCCCAGTCCGGGTGCCGGATTCTGTCCCGGTTGCCCCTCTTCCAGGCCAGCTCTCTGCTGTGGCCAGGGAGTGCAGTGGAGGATGGCCCAAGTCCTTGGGCCCTGCACCCGCATGGGAGACCAGGAGAAGCACCTGGCTCCTGCCTTCGGATCAGCATGGTGCACCGGCCGCAGCACACCAGCCGCGGCGGCCGTTGAAGGGTGAACCAACGGCAAAGCAAGACCTTTCTGTCTCTCTCTCTCACTGTCCAAAAATAAATAAATAAAGTATAACCTGAACCCTATTCTTTCAACCCTCCACTGTCCATTTCTGATCACTTTTTTTCCCATAGCTCTTGTCAGCTCTTCACATTCTTTATGACTATCGTTTCTTGTCATCACCACCTCTAGAAGTTCCATAAGGAAGACATATCTCGAGCACCTGGATACACACATGGCACAGAGTAGGAAATCAATTAAATGTTTCCTGAATGAATGAGAATGAGCAAATTAGCTCCCTGCTAATGTGCCTGGGAAAGCAGCAGAAGGCAGGCCAAGGGCTTAGACCCCTGCACCCATGTGGGAGACCGAGATGATGTTCCTGGTCCTGGCTTCAGCCTGGTCCAGCCAGGGCTGTTGTAGCCAACCAGGGAGTGAAACAGTAGATGGAAGAATTCTGTGTCTCCCCCTCTCTAACTCTGCCTTTCAAATAAATCTTTTTAAGAAAGTAACAAAGTGAACCTTTAGATACACACAAAAAAAATCAAAGACATGAATGGGGCTGGCTTTGTGGCACAGTGATTCAGCTGCTGTCTGCAACGCCACCAATCCCACAGATCCTTGCTGCTATACTTCTGATTCAGCTTCCTGCTAATGCACCTGGGAAAGCAGCTGAAAATGGTCCAAGTATTCGGGCACCTGCACCCCTGTGGGAGACCTGGATGGAGTTTCAGGCTCCTGACTTCAGCCTGGCTCAGCCCCAGCCAACATGGCCATTTGGGGAGTGAACCAGCAGAGATGTAAGATCTCTATCTTTCCACCTCTCCCTCTCTTTCTGTCACTACGTCTTTCAAGTAAATAAATCTTTAAAAATATATAAGAATTAAGTGATATAGTTAAGAGCAATTTCTGTGGAAAGCAATAAAGTGGGTGAAACAGTATTAAGAACTATTTAATATTTCAAATATTAGGCAGATGTTACTCATGAAAATGAAAGAAAAATATTTAAAGAAAAGACACTTCTTGAGAAAATATTCATCATATAATAAGCCCATAATTAATATTCAGATTGAACAAAATGTATCAAGGCCAGCCATCCATTAAAAAGATAAAATACAAAAAGCATTTCACGAATGAGGAAATAAGAACAGCCAATACCATATGAAAAGTTGTTCAATTTCATCATAATCAGAGAAATGCAAATTAAAATCACAGTAAGATACTATTTCACATCTACCAAATCAGTCAGTATTTAAGTCTCACATAAATTTCATTATCAAGAATACTAATAAGAATGTGAAACAAGAAAAATTTCCATTCACCACTGATGGGCATTATAAATCGGTACAACTGGGAGACATCTGATATTATCTAGTAAAGTTGAAAATGTACTGTCCAACAAATTCAGCAATTCCACTCCTACTGTGTATCCTATAGAAATGGCACAATAATCTTTACCACAGTACTATTTCTATTACCACAAAAAAAAAAAAAAAACTGTAAACAAAACAAATACCCATCTAAGGGAGAATGGATAAACAAACTGCATATTTTCCATAAACTAAAAATGTCCACATAGTTAAAAATGAATGAACTAGAGTAATATGCATCAAAACACAAGTCCCAGGGTGCAGGCATTTGGCTTTGTGGTTAAGACACCAGAAGGAACACTGCCTTCCTTCATCAGAGTATTTAGATTTCAACTCCCAGCTCTGGCTCTTGACTCCATCTCCTGTCTCCTGGGAGGCAGCAGTGATGATTCAAGTAACAGGGTTCCTGCCAGCCATGAGTGACCTGCTGCCCTAGTCTCCAGATTCAGCCCAGTTAGGGGCCACTGTGGATATGGGGAATGAACCAGTAAATGGGAGCTTGCTGTCTCTCTCAAATAATTAAATAAAAATTTTAGTAAACATTTTTTAAAAAAGACAAAGTCCCAAAGCAAGATAGGTATGTCTTCCATGTGACTCCATTTATATTAATTCAAAATGGCAACATTAAATATTGGTAAGTGGTAACAATATAAAGAAAACAAGAGTGGCTGGCATTGTGATGTAGATTGTTGAGCCTCTGCCTGTGGCACCGGCATCCCATGTGGGCTCCAGTTCATGTCCCAGCTGCTCCTCTTCAGATCCAGCTCTCTGCTAATGGCCTGGGAAGGCAGTGGAGGATGGTCCAAGTGCTTGTGCCCCTGAACCTGCATAGCCCTGCAGCTCTGCCTCTCAAATAAAAATACATAAATCTTAAAAAAAAAAGGGAGGGGGGATAATAAAAAATTCAGGACAGTAGTTATCTCTAGGAGGACAGAGGATAGCATCAGGAGAGAGCACAGGGTTCTTGAGTGCATGAGTGTACGTGTGTATGCTTATATGTATTCTTTAAAATTCTAAACCAGAAAACACAGACCTATGACCGTATGGAATACAAAACTTGAATGCATTTCAGTCAAAAAGACTTAAACAGATTGAAACTAAAAGAGTTTATGAACTTAATAGATACAGAGTAAGTCCCAAAATTCAGTATTGACATTTAGGTTTACTAAAATTTGACATTCTACCCATTTAGAAAAACAGCCAGCTTGACTAACTTAAATGCATATAACTTTCACTCTCAAATAACAAAACTAAAGAGAAGTTTTAACTTAACTTGCTATGAAAAAAATGCAAAGGTTCTCAGTAACCCTCCATGTAAAAGACAATACATGGAAAAGTAGTAAATGTAGTATAGAAGCAGTATATGTATGAAGAGTGGGATACAGGTGTGGGACGGACCTGTGCAACAAATAACCCAGCCCTCACTTGCAAGGAAAGAAAGGAGAAGGAAGTCACAACTACTGTGGCCCTTCCATGTGAAGAACATACAGAACTTTATTAATTCTCTCAATAATGCTATGAGCTACAGATGGTATCCACTTTATGAATGAGAAAAAGGATCTAAATGGTTGAGAGAGAAGCAGAAATTCCTCAGAGAATATTCCCAGTGCCTCATCTGGCTCCCAGAAGCTCAGTCAGCCAGATAAGCATGAACTATCAGAAAATAACTACAATATCACAAATATTAAAGAATAACTATTCACAAGAGGAGGAAATGAAGAAGCCAAAGTAAGAATCAAAATTGACACTTTCTTCTCTGAATCCTTGCCAAGGTTTCTAATCCATTTAATATTCCTCTAAATAAGAGAACCAGTGGTTGCTTACCTGTGACCAGGATGGTAAATAGCTGTGTTGATTCCACAAGGATAATGACTACTGAAACTGAAACTGTGACTCTCTTGGTAGCTCTGATGTGTTCCAACACTAGATTTAAAAAGTTTAATGAGAATTAAATACCACTAACCCACAAAGAATGTCACTTAAATACCCAATAAAATGTCTATAATTTAAAAGATATCCACCACCAAATATTGTTGAAGCTGTTAACCAGATTTATGAGACACTACAGTGGGAATGGAACTGATATAATCACTTAGGTTAAAAAGTATGGTAGCTTCTTGTAAAAATAATTTATATCTATTCTATTACCAAGCAATCCCACCTGAAAATATTAACCCAAGATATTAATCCAAGAGGAATGAAACTGTATATCCTTAATGTCTTGTTCAGGAATGGTCAAAATAGCTTTATTCACAATGGCCCAAAACTGGACATTTGGGGCTCAGTCCATCAACAGAAGAATAAATAACAAACCATGAGATACTCATACACTGAAACACTGATCAGCAATAAAAATGTTAATAACAAAGTGTTATTCTAAATGAAAAAAGACTTAAATAAAAAGTACATAGTATATTATTCCATTAATGTGAATTATTAGGACAAAATTCATCTTTAATAAAAACACATTAAACAGTAGCTGTTCCAGAGGTGCATGTGGAAAGAGATTTACTGGGAAGGGGACACAAGAATTTCAACTGAACAAAGGTATCTGGGATAACTCACCAGTTGGTAAAAATAACATCTGTTGTATTTCACTATATGCAATTTTAACTAAAAAAAAATACTATATGATACATATGCTAAAGTATGTATGATAGCAGCAGTTTACTTTGAAATACATTTAAAAATAAGACTTTTTGTTTAGCTGGGTGGGTAGGATAGAAATGTGATACAGCAGATCCAGCAAGTTAGTAAAATCCCAATTGTAGGAATTCAAGTGCAAGGATATGAGTATTCACCCCAATTCGTTCAAGTCTCATATTACATTTACAATTTTTCATAATAATACACTAAAGGAAACGATGAAATAGAAAACTTGACACTAAACCAGAGAAATGAATATTATTTCAAATATGACTTGCCAAAATATTTTTTACCTTACAAGGTAACTTCTAAGCTCTCCTCGGTAATTGATGACCAAGAGTTCTGCAGACCACTGTGCACTTGCTTTGTATTCTAAAAATATTAACCCAGCAATGGCATAGCTCAAATCACCTACAAAACTAGATGCCTGCAAAAAAGGTGAATAGAAGTTACTCTGAAAAGACATATAGATAAAAGTAAACACATGCATAATTAGAAAATATCCAATACACTGACTCTGCCAAGGATACTGTAAACCAGATTGTCCTGGAATTGCTCTAAATCTCAACAGTCATGCAGGTCAGAGTGCTGAGAACAAGACACCCAGGTCTAGACCTCCCAACCACAACCCCAGGCTGGAACTAAAACAGCCTCCCTGAGTGAGATGTTCACCAAAATTAGTAAATTTCTATTCAAATGGTACAACCATTGCAAAAAGGAAAGAAAAAAAAAAAAAGGAATGCCACCATTCAGCCTGAGAGAACTCTGAGGAGCTGTTCCAGATGCAAGCTTTCAAACATGAATTTCTGCTACTATACTTTCCAGTTTCCTAATCAGCAACTTACAGAAAAGGGCACTTAAAAACACTCAACCAATGTCAACCTTTTGCTATTAACTAATTATCAGGCTGCACTGCTAATGAGCTGAAGGCCTGAGTACCTGGGGAAACACACATAATAGTTGTCATCCTTGAAGAGAATCAGAATATGTCACCCTAAAATATGCCATTGTGGTGTAAGGATTATTTTAAGCTGAAGGCAACTGAGAATCAACAGATTCAGGAAACATTCTCAGTCCTCCTTTTTCTGCCTAAAAACAAGAAATTAAATTCACTATGTGAAACGGCCCCTCTGCACCTGGAAGAGGAGACAGATGTCACCAGACTGTGAGTGACACCAAACGAGTGCTTAAACAGACCTATTCATTAACTCTTATCTTCATTTCTTTCTCACTCCTAATCACTCTCTCCCAATCCACTACCTGTGAAGCCAAAACTCCCTTTCCCTTTGTTTAGCTACTTCTTTGCAATCTCTCTCTTTACTGAAATGCTACATGAGCCTCAAGCAGAACTGCTTCTTTGAATTTTCATTTCTTTTCAAAGTCCATGCACTTAAAAATATTAACATAAATAATAATTGCACGTTTTTTCTTCCTATTAATCTGTCTACCGTCACTTTATTTTTTTTATTTATTTATTTATTTATTTATTTATTTATTTATTTTAAAACTCAGAGCTACAGAGACAGAGTATGGATCTTCCATCCGCTGTTTCAATCACCAGATGGTTACAACTGCCAGTGCTGGGCCTGGGCAAAGTCAGGAGCCAGGAGCTTCTTCCAGGTCTTTCACATGGGTGGCAAGGCCCAAACCCTTGGGCCATCTTCTGCTGCTTTTCCCAGGCCACCAGCAGGGAGCTGGATCGGAACTGGAGCAGCCAGGACTAGCACCCATATGGGAAGCCTGCGTCACAGCTTACTCACTACACCACAACGCTGGCCTCTCTACTGTCACTTTAATTTGTAGGCTCCCAGCTACTAATTTGAAGAGGGTAGATGAAAAGTTCCTCCTCTCAATATACTTAACTGCTCCTCAACCACACAAACACTTAAAAGGTGGCTTGTCTGAATTGAGATACACTATAAACATAAAAATACACATCATGTTTCAAAGACTTAATATGAAAGAATGTAAATTATTTTACTAATAGTATTTTATACTGATTACATGTTGATATGATAATATTTGAAATATATTAAAATGATTAATTTTCCAATTTTTTACTGTGGCTACTAGAAATTTACAATTACACTTGATCACATCTATCAGTATAGTTTTCATTACACTCCTACTAGACAACACTAGCCTAGAAAACAGAAAACAATAATCAAACTCCTTAGTTTGGTTTTCTAGGACTTTTATAACGTGTATGAGCCCAACACAGGTTTCTGAGTTTTTCTGATCTCTGCTACTGAATGAAAATCATCTTTCGGCTAGAGTTGCCAGCCCCAACTTCTCATTGGATTCAGCTGAAAAGGCTATGAACAACACGACTGCCCAAACCCCAATCAGATCCATTAAATCAGAAGTTCTGTGGGTAGAATCAGAGCAGAGTCTGAGCAGAAGAATTTGCTTTAGTTTTTATTTTTTTTCCTCTTCTTTATAGAACTCCCCAGATGATTCTAAAATGAAGTCAGAGGTAGAACTCCTGTCCTACCTGCCCCTGTATCTTGTTCATTTGAGGAAAGAGGATGCAATCTGAAAGCACTAGATTCCTAGAAAGACACTTATTCACAACTGCCAGGAGGAAGGCACTGAGCTCCCCCTCAATCTCAGCTTTCCAAACTGTAAAACCAGGACAGTATCTAACCAAACTGCCCAAAGGGTTGTTGTGACTATTAAATGAGAATGTATATCACAGTCATTAATAAAGACTATACAAATACATATTATTGCTGCCATTACTTTCTCCACTCTTCCTCTCATGATGGCCCACTGACTTCTTCCCCTCACTGGAACTTTATAACAACTTTCTAAATTCTCTTTATAGTCTTTACTTACTACCAGATGATTTACTTGCATAGGACATTACAAAATAGAAAGGACTAGGGAAGGCATTTGGCACAGAGGTTACCATGGCTACTTGGGATACCTACATCACATAGGAGACTGCCTGCCTGAAGTCCCAGCTCATCCCCTTCCGAAACAGCTTTCTGCTAATGTGCACCCAGGAAGGCAACAGTCACGGCTCCCACAGATGGGTCCCTGTCACCACCTGGCAGGCCCACACCGAATGCCAGGCTCCTGGTTCCACCTGGCCCAGACCCAACTTGAGCAGGCATCTGGGGAGTAAACCAGCAGATGGAGGTATCTGTCTGTCTGTCTCTCTGCCTTTCAAATAAAATAAACATTCTTTATCAAAATAAGTCACTTTCTACAAAAAAACAAAACAGAATAAATATTGCAAAGATATAGGTCTCTAGGTGTTGAGCACCTTAAGTTCACAGCTTATTATTCTGATTTATATTTCCCCTCTCTCCACATTCACTCTTTCAAGCACCTATACAAAAATAAAAGGCGGGGGGGGGGGGGGAGGCAGCTGAAAAGTCACTGTCAGTCGAAGGTGTGTACACACCGGGCAGATGACGAAGAGCTCGCTTCCCACGAGATCAAACACCCGCACCGTTCCTGTGCTTTCAGCATAAGCCAGCAGGGTACAATCGTAACTCCATGCTACACGTCGCCACTGGGGTTTCGGGTCTTTCGGAACTAGAACAGAAAGAAGAAAGAACTGATAACAATATGTAGTATTTAACATGCTTAGTAACTGCAATTTAAGTAAGCACTCAGCTATATTAAATACCACTTCATCTCTTAAGGATCTCCAATGCTTCACTCAACAGAAAAGAACAGCTCCCAGAAACCCATTTCAAGAGTGGGAAACAAACGATGGGAAACTCGGCTCCATTTTCTTCACAAGCAAACCCTGCTGCTACTGATGAATGTTGCTGAAATCCTGGAATAATACACCTCAAAATATTTATGAAGTTAAGACAGAACATATTTCAGAGAACGGGCAGAAAATAATTGCAACCCAGTTAAGTTCAGCCCTTCCTAATGTAAAAAATGAAAATTTCAACTGAAATCTCTTAAATATATGAAATATCAATGCAAAGAAGATACTGATATGAGACTGCCTTCACCAGGTTAGATTGACCCAACAATGGTGTCACCTGATGTCCAAGCTCACAAAACTCTTGCTTTTTCTCCATTCCCTTCCTGAAAATTCTCCATCTTATGCTTTCATGGTGGGTCTGACTGTATTGTTTTTTTGTTTTTAAGATTTATGCATTTATTTGAAAGTCAGAGTTACACAGAGAAGGAGAGGCAGAGAGAGAGAGAGAGAAAGAGAGATCGATCTTCTATCCGCTGGTTCACTCCCCAGATAGCCACAACCACCAGAGCTGTGCTGATCTGAAGCCAGGAGCCAGGAGCTTCTTCCAGTTCTCCCACGTGGGTGCAGGAGCCCAAGGACTTGAGCCATCTTCTACTGCTTTCCCAGGCCGATAGCAGAAAGCTGGATGGGAAGTGGAGCAGCCAGGTCTCGAACCAGAGCCCATATGGGATGCTGGTGCTTCAGGCCAGGGCATTAACCCGCTGCTCCACATCGCCGGCCCCTCATTGTGGCCAGTAATAAAGCCTCTGCCTTCCCAAGACTGGAGTACCAGAATGGTTTTGTGCACAATAGGCAGCACACCTACCTCATTTGGTAACAGTTTGCTGACACAGCATTAGAGAGGAAACGTGGGAAGCTAGCACTGTGGCACAGCAAGGTAAGTCACAGCCTGCAACACCAGCATTCCAAATGAGCACCAGTTCAAGTTTCAGCTGCTCCACTTCCAAGCCAACTCCCTGCTAAAGTCCCTGGAAAAGCAGATGGCCCAAGTGCTTGGGCCCCTGCCATCCACGTGGGAGACCTGCAAAGAGTTCCAGTCTCCTGGCTTTGGCCTGACCCAGCCCTGGGCATTGTGGCCATTTTGGAAGTAAAGCAGAAGATGGAGGATTTCTCTCTCTGTCTCTCCTTTCTCTCTGCTTTTCAAATGAATAAATAAATCTTTAAAAAAATTGTGTTTTCTGGAAGAGTCAAGAACTGCTCCTAGTCAATCACATAATTATAAGATTTTGATAGGGGCCGGCGCTGTGGTATAGCAGGTAAAGTAGCATGCTGCAGTGCCGGCATCCCATATGGGTGCCGGTTCAAGTCCAGGCTGCTGCTCTTCTGATCCAGTTCTCTGCTATGGCCTGGGAAAGCAGTGGAGGATGGCCTAGGTGCTTGGGCCCTGCACTCACATTAGGGACCTGGAGGAGGCTCCTGGCTCCTGACTTTGGATTGGCCCTGTTCTGGTCACTGTGGTCATTTGGGGAGTGAACCAGCAGATGGAAGACCTCTCTCTCTCTCTCTTTCTCTGCCTCTGCCTCTCTGTAACTCCGCCATTCAAATAAATAAATATTTAAAAAAAAAAAAAGATTTTTATAATCAACACTTTAATAAATCTAATAACCCAACACCTGTATTTTTCTTGTTATGAATTCTTCAGTAAAACAATAGAGAGAAAGGTTATCAGCTGAAAAAGAAAGTGCTTATTCTTTTGTTTGCTTTCATTTCCCCTTGTTAGAATCCCAGAACTGAAAAAAACAAGAATTCCAAGTGATTAAGGGGCTCAAGGTGGTGCTATGAGTCAAGGGCAGAATGAAATGCAGAATCTCTGGGGCCAGCACTGTGGTGCAGTGAGTTAAAGCCCTGGCTTGCAGTAGAGGCATCACATATGGGCACTGGTTCAAGTTCTGGCTGCTCCACTTCCGATCCAGCTCTCTGCTATGGCCTGGGAAAGCAGTAGAACAGCCCAAGTCCTTAGGCTCCTGGCTTTGGATCAGCTCAGCTCTGGCTGTTGCAGCCATTTAGGGAGTGAATCAGCAAATGGAACACTTCTCTTTCTCTCTCTCTGGTTCTACCTCTCTTTGTAACTCTGTCTTTCAAATAAATAAAAAATAAATCTTTAAAAAAAAAAAGAAAATGCCTTCTCGTACAGTGCACATTTCACTACAACCAATGCCTTTCAGTCACACACTTAGGACCACCTCTCTGGGAGTAAATACCCTACCCCAAACATACTTCTTTGGCACATTTTATGACAGTTATTTAGAAAAATGCAGACATAGGCATGGCTCTAAGGAGTCATTCTTTTGTAAAGAGAAATCTAGATCCATCTACATTAAGAAAATAAACAAGAGAGGCAGGCAGAGGCTTTCTGAGAGCTCCTTATCTGCCCAGGAAAGATCTTTCCACACGAGAAAAAGAACAGGGTCTGACTCCTTGCCCAGACAGAGATGACCACCGCTGGTCTTCTGAGGACTGACATCTGAGAGACTTGTCTGCATAATAAAAACATTTTTGTTCACAGCATATTTCTTCCCCTCACCCACCCACTACCTGTTGTCACCTCCTACCCCACTCCCACCCCCAGGAGCTTCAAGCCCCTACTTATTTCTGTAGCTCAAAATGCTACTGAAGCTTCAACCACAAGGCCTTTTTAACGAGTCTCATACTTAATGTGTAATTCTTCTGCCCATGCACATAATAAACTTGCTTTTTCTCCTGTTCATCTGTCAACCATCAGTTCATTTCATAGACTAAAATGAGCAAAATTCCAAAAGGAAAAGAGAAATTTAAAGCTTCCTTATACTACAAAATGTTTCAGAAACTAAAGGCCTTCTCTTTGTTTCTCTACCAATATCCCACATCAGCTTTCATGATCTCTCGCTTAGATTCTTATGGCAGCCTCCTAACTGGTCTTGCTACCTTTGGTATCTTTCCCTCTCCCTTCCTTAAAAATGGAAAGATGAACAGACTGTCTTTCTGCTATTTTAAAACCCCTAATGGTTTTCCATTTCCAACACAATCAAGTTCAAACTCCTCAATATCCCCCATCATAGCTTTCCAACTTCAACTCTCATCCCTTCCCCTATCACACACCTAAAATCCCACCACACCACAGCCACCTGGCAAAGAAGCAAATCTGTGCCTTCCATTCATCCAGCTGCCTCTACCTAGACTCTACTCACCCATCCAGGCCTAGATTAACTGCTCTCTTCTATGTGCCCCCAAAACCCCAAAACCCAAAACACAGTCTCTCATAGCATTTATCACATCATATTACATTGTTCACATTTGCCCTGCAAGTCTCTGGGCTCCATGATATCAGAGACAATACCTCAATCAATGCTGCCATCCCAGGGTACATCCCAAAATACAAAGTGATAAATGTTTCACCAATGAGAGAAGCCTAAATCTCTCAGAAAGACCTACATGAAGAAGCGAGGCATGGTAAGGGCTTACTACCCATCAAGAACTATCAAACAATTAAGTGGAAATCATGTAACTTAAGTCTTTCTATCTAAAAGGAGTACTGTGTAGAATTCAGGCTTCCTTCTATTTTTGTAATAGACATTCTATATATGAAAAAATTATTCCAGATATCAATGACTTTGTTCATTTTCACCAAAAAAAAAAAAAAAAAAAAAAAAAAAAAGCACATTAAAAGAAAAATCCAAGAGAGGTTCCTGAACACAGGGGGGTCTAATGTATTTCATTGTAACCTAACAATAAGTTGCATACACTATGGAAAAGCAATTTTTTAAAAGTGAGAATAAAATGAAAATCAGTTCACTACCTTCAGACACCTAAAAAAAAAAAGCTCCTAAGTAGATATATGCATAAAATGATAAACAAGAATAAAAACAAAACCTGCATATTCACAGATGCTACACAAAAACCACCAAGACAATTTTGTCCTGAAAAATATTCATGTGCCAAGGAAACACTGCAAACATTTTTCCATTTTTATATTTTTACCTATGATAACAGATCGTTCGTCTTATTCCATTTTAATAGGATAAATACATTTATGTACTACATTCTGTAGCTGTCAAAAATAAGTTCCAGCTGATAGTAATTTGTTTTTACCATTACTTCAAGTTATAACTAGTGACTGCAGAAAATTCAGCAGATGTTTTGACCCAGATAAAGATATGCTTTCATTACAAGATAAGAGTTCACGTAACAATGTGAAAATAGAGACAATCACTGGATTTTCCCAACCACCTGTGTGGTTTTGGGAAGGTGTGGATAACAGATTTTTAACAAGGCAATTGACAAGGCAGTTGTCTGGAAACATTGATGGTAACAGCTAATGGGCAGCATGTTAATTGACAGCTCATGGTGAAACTGCCTATATCTGCTCATATTTACATCACGTATAGTCCCTTACGCTGGCCCGTTGCCAAGCTCTCCACCTCAGAGCTTTGCTTTTACAGATGCTGTTTCCTTGCCTGAAATGCCTTCGCTGGGCCTCTCACTAGTTTCTTTTCATCTTTTCAAGTCTCACTTCAAGTATCACTTCCTTAGACAGCAGTCTCTGACCAGCCTGTCTATGTAGCCTCTAACTCTCCTTATTCTCTATGACTCTGGTGACTTTATCTCCTTTACATCTCTTAGAAGAAATAACTATAGATTTTTTTGCATTGCATTGTCCGCCTTATTCATTAGTCTATGAATTCCAAAATGTCAGGAACTATGTCCATGATTGTTCACAACTTCTTCCACCAATGCCTAGTACTCCAGCAATACATACTAGGCACTCAAGTGCTAACAGAATAGACTTCACTCAGTACTCACTTGCCCAAATTACACACGGAAATGTCAAGGATGT